GGCAAGAGTTAAACAACCTTCTGATCGGAGTTCCGTTGACCAATCAGCGATGACGTTTTTCCAACCGACTTGTGCAGCGTCGACTAGTTTGAAATAAGAAAAAGGCGGGAATCCTTTGAGGTATTTGGCATTGACCAGTATTGGCAGCCTGCCTGCATGCACGCATTGCACACCTACCAACATCGTCTCCGATTCCATCCACGAGCCACTGGTAGGCAGCTATTTTAACTAATTGGATTGTTTTAATATTTATAAAGAATATGTTATGTTATTTTTATGTACAGTACGTTTCTTTACAAAGCTATGCTTAATTATAATTTTCTTAAAAGTATATTCGTACAATTGAAGAATATTTTGTACCTGGTATGTGTATCCACCACACATTATATTTCACCGAGTAAGTTTTTATTATTTTAATTGTAGCCCTTATATCGTGGCTAGCGATTCGGAATGTAATTGTGATATTAAAAATACATTTAGAGAAGTCTACGGTTTTTACTGGCTTATCGAACGAACGAATACGAATGTACCCTAGACCGTCGCTGACGAGCAATTAACTGATTGCTCCTGGAAGTCGGCTTCTTACAGAAACGCGGCTTCCCTATCGTCAAATGTCACGGCACGCCACAGAAAAAGAAATTTGAGATTTCAAGTATAACGATGGAGTAGGAAATATTGTAGTTCCATGTTTTTTTCCAAGGAAATGCAGAAGTCTGCTCACCTCTTCAACAAATCACACCTATTCTTTACCTTCAAAGCAACTCCTGAAAGGAGAAGAGAGGGAAAAAAACATTTTTTGAACTGATCAAATTTAGGTATTTTTGCCAAGGGTGTGCTCTCTGTCAATTAGAGATTTTATCAAAAAACTTGAACGACTTGCCCTATAAAAGTTAAAAGCTCTCTATATAAGTGATGCGAGTTTCGATTCTCCATAAACTGACCGGTTTCGGTCATGTCATAACAATGTAATAAACGGACAATGTTGGTTGGCTGGACAGTCACGTGGTAGATGCCTTAGAATGCGACTATGCAGACGCGAATTTAGTAGCGAAAGAGATTGCGAGCCATATATTTTTCGCAAAAGAAAACCATGCTTGAGCGAGAAATCTCGCTGGCGAGAGCGAATTTCTGCTCTCGCCAGCATATCTGACAGGGTTTGATATTTATTGCGTCTCCCCTCTTCTTGCCACATACTCTCGCTCGCTCGCGTATGCATAGTCGCACCCTTAGCTGCCATTTCCAAGGACCAAAATTTTTCGTCGATGGTCCGTCTCCGATACGTTGTGCTCCTTCCCTCTCTAACCGGCCACTTCATCGTGGGCCTGACTGAATCAGTGGTTTAGAGAAAGGGGCGGAAGTAGCCAAAAATGAAAACTGGCCGTTAATTTATCCTCTCCCTCTCCCCCCGCGGGGAATTTCCAAAAATCCTTAGTGTGCATTTTCATGATGTGCACTAATTGTTTTAAATTTCACCACTAGGCTCAGCGGTTTGCTCTGGGCGATGATGAATCAGTCAGTCAGGATTCCTCCCAGGGGAGAGGGAGAGCATTAAAGCTTAACCGGAATAATGTCTTCTACTGTACTATTTTAGATGCGATGTTTTGTTTTTATCTGCGTTTTAGTAGGGTATGCCATGGCAATGCACAATACAAAGGGATTTTTCGAAATTCTTCCCCCCCAGGGGGAGAGGGAGAGCATTAAGGCTTAACCGGAAGAACAACTTCTACTGTACTATTTTACATGCGATTTTTTGTTACGTTTAGTCTTCATTAAATACTTAAGTATATTAAATTAATAACATTTCAGACATTGTTATAAATATTTTTATATACAGTAAAACCTGNTAAATTAAAAGTTAAAATGAAATTAAATTGTAAAATTAAATAATGCACACCACTTATATCTACCCCTCTATTATTTAAAATGAACTGTACTTAATTTAAAATGATCGTTGAGAAAGGAAAGGACTCTTAAGAAAACCATTACAAGTGAGAGACTGTTTATCGGTATGTACAACTGCTCTGCAAGAGGTTTTCTGTAGACTTCAGTGAGGATTGTCATTCCTTTAATTATAATATTGATATCAAGAAAATGTACATGGGTGTCGTTTGCCTGTTCAAGGCCCAACGTTAAGCCGTAGCAGTTGTTATTGAATGTGTCTATGAATGATGATACGTCTGGCTTAACCTTCCAAAAGATGAGGATATCATCTACATACCTCTTATACAAAACAATATTGTGGATGTGACTAGGAAGGATTTTTTTCTTCTAGTTGTCGTATTACCAGTTTGTATAAATCCCCAGAGAGCAGGCTCCCCATAGGTACACCTCTTCCTTGCTTGTAGACTATGCCTTTGAATTGAAAGAATACATTATAACATAACAAATGCACCATCTCTAGTGCTAACCTACACCAGCAGTATCAGAGATGGCGCATTTGTTATGAGTCGGGGAACAAAGCTCCATCATCCTTTCAAGCAGGGTCGCTGCTTCCTTAATAATGCAGCTTTTGATAGAAGAATCTGTTGCAGAGGGCAGAGAACTGTCCAAGAATCTGGGAACCCCTGGGAGAGTATCACCAGTGACATCCATAGAAAAACCAGCCACCAACGTTAAAATAAAACAAAAATAAAATAAATCTGTTGCATAAAGCCAGACAAAACCGTTAAAACGACCGTTGACAACAACTAGATAATTAACGGTCCGTGGCAGTTGCTAGTTAACGTAAGTACTGTACGTTAAGTGGAGGAAAGTTGCAAAATTCACTTAATTTATAACTTGCTCTAATTTAAAAACTACCATGACTACACTATCCAAATTTACAGAAACAGTTACTGAAACAGTCCATTTCCTAAATATGATAATTAGGTTGACAGATGAAAACATGGGGCCTGATGGGGCCCGAGACCCGACAAAAAAATAAATTAAAATGGCAAAATCTTGAAAACCACTGGTCCTAGGACTCCCAAAATCTCAGAAAGTACTTACAATTCAGTTGTCCACAAGATCCGGTATGAATTTTCGGTAAATCGACCACCATTGTCCAGATATTCGGTCCTGAAAAATCCCAATTCTCTGACTTCCGTAACTTCCGAAATTCTTGGCCCACCTTTACATTATTGACGTCATCTTAATCTTTGCGTAATCCTGAGTCAAACAATATAACACACTTCACTACACCAGGTAAATCCCAAGAGAAATTGCACAAGAACCAGGAGCTCGTGCCTCATTAAAAATCTTGGTTGTGTCTGGGTTTGTTGCATATGTCGACAATGCTGTCGTATATTTGTTGTTGGTGATGTCTGCTTTATGTTCCTTTATTCTGGTGGCTAACGGATGCTTAGTGGACCCTATGTAAATTAGTTGTCTTTGCCATCTATCGTCTATTAAGGGAATGGCATTGGGTCATCCGCACCACTCGTCATCATGAACATCTAAGAACTTTGGAAGCGATGGAAATTTACAAAGCAGATCGCAAACTAACCTGCATCAATCTTAAAGAAGAAATGAATCTCTCAACAGCCTGGCAGTATTTATTAGATGATGAATCGTAATTTAGTATACGATACACCAGATTATTATGGGATGCGCACATCGTATATCCACTAGTTAAAATTATTTTTAGAAACAGCATGTGATTAAAAAATATGCGAGATTATTATAAGATGTGCACAACATATCTCCACGAATATAAATTATAAAGAAATTATAATTCGGAAAGGCACATGATTACCTTCCTTATCTGAACTTCTAGTAACAGAGCACGTTCTTATTTAAAAATACTCGAATTAAGAATCCAGTACGTTAAATTTGGCCTGAAGAAGAGCCCAGGAGGGGCATCGAAAGCGTTTGCCAATATTAGTTTGGAATTTTCATGTCGGTTAGTGGTTGTAGAATACATATATTTAAAGCTCGCCAAGTTTAATTCAATGTCAAGGTGATGCTGACAGTTTTCTTTGATGCTAAGGGTGTTGTTCACCACGAGTACCTCCCCCAAGGCTCTATAGTGAACCAGACTTACTATGTTGAAGTTCTGAAACATCTGAGGGATGCCATCCGTCGCAAATGGCCAGAAATGTGGAGGAGTGGTGATTGGTTTCTCCATCACGACAATGCTCCAGCCCATTCAGCCCTAAGAACTCTTGAGTTTTTGGCCGAACACTCGATCACTGTTCTTCCCCACCCCCTACTCACTTGAATTTGCTCCTTGTGACTTTTTCTTGTTCCCCAAACTCAAAAGACCCTTGAAAGGAAGAATTGAGACAATTCCTAAGATTAAGGCAAATGCGACGAAGGTGCTGAAAGACATTAGAAAAGAAGCATACCAGGAGTGTTTCAACAAGTGGAAACACCGTTGGGATAAGTGTGTGTGTTGGGAAGGAGAGTACTTTGAAGAGGACCCAGACATGTAACTTCTGCATAAAGTACATTTTGTTTTATGACGTCAGTCCATGTATTTTTTGAACAGACCTCGTACACGAAACTTGGGATTTCTCCATTATGTTTAAATTTAAAGTTAGTAGAGACAAGTATTTACTAAGGTTTAAGTTTTGGAAAGATATTATTAATATATTGTGCTTTTCAAAATCTGATTATTTTTCTATATTTTATTTTGTGTTAATTTGTATTAAATTATTAACTTGTTAAATATTATCATTAATTAATTTTTATTTCAGTTACCCCCTTGCAATGAACTAATAGTTCATACAATAAAGAATTGATTGATTCATATTTACATACAAATAATGTTAATAATAAATGAGTTTAGATTTTTAAAAGCTCGTATTTATTTTATAAATTGCTTATTTTTTGGCATTTTTCTACAAGATGCATGTGCTGTACTTTTTACACAGTTTTTGTCTTATGCTGTATTCTTTGGAATGTATCACCATGCAAAAAGAGAGATAGGTGTATTTTATTTAGGACTGTTTCTTGTATCTGGATTTATGAAACATAAACTTTATAAAATTTTTATTTATCTGAAAGTTTTTTCTTGATAGGTATTGTACTATACAGATAAAGATGTATACTTCGAACAACATATGGAAACCATTCACGATAACTTTGTGAGAGCAGTCTGTTACGGAAAGGTGACTTTCACCGGTGGTGTGACTTACCAAGAAATATATAGATATTTGAATTCCAGTGAACTACGACCGTCACCAGAACCATCTCCCGATCTAAAGTGTTGGATGGAAGCCAATCGAATCTCTAGCGAGAAGTTACGAAAGAAGCAATAGATTTTAACTTGAAATTTCAAGAAACATACCTCAAAATATTATTAGGTAATAAGAGAAATTAATTATATTACTTAATAAAAATTTGTGTACAAGCTAGGTTTGTGCATATTTAATATTTAATTTTTAGGATGCACTTCTAGAATTTGAATTAATATATATGTATTTATTATATTTTAGATCTATAAAGTATTTAATGCTTTATTGTATAAAAAATTTTGTAATGAATTCAACCAATCATCATTTAATATTGTAAATGACTAAACTCTAAAAAGTTAATATCATTTAAATTCTTAGAATCTCATTCTATAAAATTGAATGATTAGAAATTAAAATACAGCTTGAGAGAGGTATCTCTTTTGTAAATTATGAGATAGTTTAGAATGTTAAGAGAATGTAGAGACTGCATAGGAATTTTGGCAATGCCTGCTCATGTTGGATAGGACCAAAATCTCTTAGCCACCAATGTTTTTCTCTCCAGTCCTACTGGTCCTATTTTTTGTGTCCTCTTACTGTACGGGTATCTTCTGTATTATTTATTGATTGCAGTGCTGTGATAACAGTAAAAAAAAATATTTGAAATTTGTTTGATTTATATAATAGTTGTTGGATAATATCAATTTGGACATGCGAGGTACAAAATTTTAAAATTAGTTGAACGAAAGCAAAATAAAAAAAACATTCAGACAAGTCAAATTTTTCATATAATTTGTTTACAAAGAAGTGAAATTTTATGTATTATTTAAAATGCAGAATTTCTAATCTTCTGTGATATTTGTTTCATGGTAGACTATTTTTCAAAGAATTTTTGTTTCGGTTATGACAAGAATTTGTTAAATGAGATCTGTGATATAAAGAATTTATAGAAGTTGCATTTAAAATATTATCATCATTTATATCATAAGTTTAAAGTAAATCTTAGTTCTATTTTTTTAGTTACATTAGTTTAATTGTTTGTTTTGTTGTTAAATGATCATTTGTAATATCTGCATGCATCTTGCTTGAAAGGATTAGTATTGAACAAAAGTGTTTGGTTATATGCATTTTAAGAATTTACTTATCAAATGTTATTTAAAAATTTGTCAAAAGTACAATTCATATCTGACAGTATTCGTTGTTAAGACATTCCAAAACATCCATTTATAACGACAATCATTATGTTAGATATAGAAGAGAAATTTGCATCAATTGGTAATTTGTAACAAAGGTTGAGAATACAATTTGACAAAACATTATAGTTTCTGCTTCTGTAAAATTGTCTTTGGTTTTATTGTATTGTAATTGTTTAAAATGTTAAAGTATTATATAAAAAGTTGTGTTTTGATTTGATTTAATTTGGTAAAAGAAATATTGCCAAAAATACTTGAAGCATTAAAGATTCCAAAGTATATTCACATAAAACCAGTATGTGTGTATAATACATGCATATATGAGCAAATAAATGAATATGATCTTTAAAGATTTTTATATTTAATATTAAAATAATCTTAAATAAATCTTATCTTCTAATCCAAAATTATTTTGGACTAGGAGGGATAACTTCAAAATGTTTCAAAACTGAGACGATTTGAAAAAAATTTTTATAATACAGTTAGATCAAGTGCATCACATATTATCAAAACAAAAATGATATATACATATACACTTGCAATTCATAATTCATTACTATTTAGTGATTTATAGTGTTAGATGCCAAATTTCAAACAAAATTTCATAGTTAGTCTATAGTAATTTGCAAAGGAAAGAAGTTTGTTAACCATTTGTTTTTGCTCTTAAAATTTGAAAATAACAAAAGGTGTTAAAAATGTCTACATTAGTTGATAACAATAATTAAATATTAAAATGTTATGAATGTTAAAGAAAAATGTAATCAGTATAACAATAATTATAATTGAACTTTCTCTTAATATATTTATAATTAATTCATCATGCATCATTATATCAAAAAAAATAATTTATTTCTTTAGCATACTATAACAGGTTTTGTAATTACCATTGTCATATTTTGAATTTAGTTTTATTTCTTTTTGTAAATATTTATTTGTTATATATTTTATGTTTCAAAGCACTACTGTACTTGTAGACTGTGCTTATCATTATACTCTTTATCACTTTGCTGTGTTAGATAACTTTTCACAAAAGTCTACAATTTTCTTGATATTTGATGATCTTAATTCATTTCTCAATCAATTTTAATGATGATTATTAGTTGGTTTTAGTTTTTTTCTATACTAATGTTCATAGAATAGCTTCTTATATAATTGGAAAAATATTCCTTAAAAATTAAATTAAACTCAAATTTTTTTTGTAAGATTTGATATGTTAATTAGGCAACCAAAGCGTAAAATATGTTGGAACAAAAACGATAACACATATCTATTGAAATATTATTGGACGGATGAACAGTTAGTTATTATTGCGCTTGGCATGGATAAACTGATTAGATTTTAATAAATTGACTTATTTGATATTGCAAAGTGTCATTAACAAATATATTAATATCGACATCTCGAGAACTCGACGTATTAATAATCATCCAACCGTCAACCAAATTAGTTGGACAGAAATTATGCTACAAATATTAATTAGAAATTAATTATTTCATAATTAATTAAATTATTAATTTTTGCCTGATTAATTTGGTTGATAGTTGGATGGTCATTAACAAATGTTGAATTTTTAATTTTCACACTATTAAAAATGATGATTACTAAAGAAACACTTTTTTTTAAAATTAATTTTAAATTAAAATTTTATTACAGAGGATCTAATGTGGATTAATGATTATATGATAGTTTGGAGTGTCTCTTATCAAACATTATCATAATCCTATCAAAATTAGTTAAACAATTGCTAATTTAGACTATTATTGCTAGTGTAGACATATATTTGAGATTATTCTAAATACTATGACTATATTTTAGTTTAAAAAACAATTTTCCAGTTTAATGATTTATTTAAACAAGTATATTTTTAAAAATGCACAATAAAACAGTTTTAAGCTATAAAGAATTTGTCCTGAACTTTAGTAAGAAAATAATTTTGTTTATTGATGTTCACAAATAAATTTAGTTCTTAGAAAAAAAATATTTTTAACTAGAGATAGTCTCTCTGGAAAACATGATCTTTTCATTTTTACAGTATTTATATTATAAGATTCTAAAATGTATCTGTCAATTAAAATTAGAAGAATACAGTAGTATCTTAAAAGATAAAATGTATCAGTGAAAAGTTATGTATTTTTTTTTCTTATTTATATAGGTTTAAATAAATTTCTCCTTAATAATTATTTACTCTATATTTATTAACAATGCTGAATAAGTTACAAAAATCACCAATTAATTGGTACTAGCATTTTTCCACATCCAAATATTTTTTAAGACAAAATGTCTATTCTAAAAAATAACTAATGGTAAACCATCACATTTATTTTAATTTTAAAAGCATTTTCCTTAGTGTTGCACAATGCATCTTTCACATTTTCTACCGACACAGTAGTTTTAGACAAAGGAAAAGATGTTTCAGTTTACAGTTGCAATTTAAAATCTGCATGTACCTATCTCTTCACGCAACTCTCGTTTTATTTCAAACTATATAAGTACAGATACAACTATTGAGTTAAATACACAGAAATAGTGCAATTAACTAGATAGTACTCTTAAAACAAATCATAATTATTATTGGTAATTTTTTCTTAAAGTTTGATGCTTTGAGACTTATCCTCATTCACAAATGTAACAATTAAAATAAACATGAAATATAGATAGGACAAACTTATTTATTGCTCTCTTGAGAAAGAATGAAGAAATCAGATCTGATTTATTATCTCTGCTATTTGAACAGTTTTTCGTTTTTCATTCATGTTGTGTACCATCAGTTGGTTTGATACCAGTGATTTGAAGTAGTTTTTTTTAAACTCTTTTTGGCCTGTGGGCACTAAGACAGGGCTTCTTTTAGCAAGCCCATTACAAGTTCGCAATGGGGCGGCCGGGTGACGAGGGACAGGGCCCAACATATCCGGACGGACCACTGCCAGGAATTTTTCTGGGGATTCTTTGAACCCGGGTTCCCCAGAGCGGTATGCTGCCATCTTGCTGCTCGGTCATCCTGCAGCACAGTTGAAATAGTTATTTGGAGTATGTTTGAGCCAGAAAGGTTATTAAGTAATTGAATGCAAAACATATTTCTGAGGTTGGCTTCATGGTAATACCAAGAAAACTATGTATAATGGCAAGCATTGGTGCACCAGAGGGACCAAGGGGCCCTACACCCCCGAAGTAAAAGGAAAACAACACTAGTAAATTTTTCAAAAATTTTTTATTAATTAAAATTTATTTTTTATTTATGTTGTCTTTATTATTTATGAAAATTAACAATTGCATAAGGTGGAAATTTTTTAATGAATTCTCATAAAAAATTTTTATATCCTTTCAACTCAACTCCCCAAGATTAAATTTTGAGTGCACCATTGATGGCAAAGAGAAAAACTGGCCCAAAGTTCACATTTATAAAAAATAATCTTAATCTACATACAATTTACAATAATTTGTCAATTATTCAATTTTCCTGTGTAGAAACGAACCCTTTTGTAAACAGGAGAGGGGAATCAAATAACTAACACTTCGGTAGAAAAAGTAGTGGCGTTCCGTCATTGGAAGCGCCGCTTCCCTCGTAGTTTCTAAAGAATAAATACAGTACATATTCGGCCATTATTTTCATATTTTAACATATTTTGGATTAATTAAAATTAGTATTTTATTATAACCGCATTATGTATTTTACTACAAATTTCTATACTACGTGTGAAAAAACGATAAGATCGCTTTTGTATATTCGAATATTAGTGGCGGAATGGAAGCGCTGTACAGGTAACCCCCGTATAACACGGATTCGCTCTAACACGGTTCGAGAAATGGGTAAAACCCTCGTACAACATGAAATGTAATAAATTTTTACATACTTAAGTACTGATAGTTCACAAAAATTATAATTTTCGTGAACTATTAGTACTTCAGTGTGTAAATTTTCTTTTCTCGTCTCCATACACATGGTCCTTCGCGAAAATTGTTTCAATGTTGCCAGATCTGGACGCTTCTGCTTCTGGTGTTGCCAGATGTTTTTCCCTTATTCCAT